AGAGGAGAGAGAGAGATGCATAGATATACATAGATAAATTGATAGGTAGATAGATAGATTGATAGGTAGATAGATAGATAGATATAGATACATACATTTTATCACAGCTTTCCTTTCTTAATAAATGAGTAGTTGTACTGTAACAGTTTTCTTTTGTTTAAGGGTTCGTCGTTGATTCGTTGACAAAACGTACCATATATAGATAAGAGTCCGTTAGAATCTTTCCGTCAGAAGACGGCTGCTGAATTTGTATGATAAATATTTACAGTTATTGCAGTATAATAGTCCCTCATTTTTCAATTGTATTTCATAAAATCAATCTGGCAGAAGTCCATGGTGCATGTACGCCAGTAAACCTATCATGCGACCGAAGAGGCTTTATTAACAACATTTTGAATGTCTTCTTTTATATTTATTGCAGTTAAGCGGTCACTTCACCGGTCACGGAAACTTTACGGTCCGAAACAACTTCCTGAGTTTCGTCCTGACGAGTTTCAGTAACGGCAGCCTTGTCGCCAACTTAACCCTGGCAACGAAATCGCTACTGGCGACTTCAGACATCCAGCAGGCCATGACTAACGTACAAGGCATCAGCATCGGGAGCCTGAACATTCTTACAGGTACTGTCCGTAAGCACGTTGACAGAACGTACTGCATCTGCACGAAACCCGTGTAATGTATTGTGCATAGCACTTCGGAAGAACGTCTCATATAAGGTCGTTGTCACGTATATAAGCTAAACATCCCGACTGTAGCTTCCAAATGTTGTGTTGGAAAAGATATTGCCTGCAACAGGCAAAATTCAGATGCAATGTTGACCAAACATCCAACAAAAACCGTAAAATGGTTCCGCGCAGGCACAGTACGTTCAGCACTCACTTGACTATGACGTAATTTGAGTGACCATTTGGGGGGGTTAAACCGGGTGCAAATTCGTTGAGAGAAATGCTTCAAGAGATGATTATACTTACTGCATTACTTATATTTCACCCACCTTCATGATTTGCTTATTGTGTTTTACAGAGCTTTGCTACCCTGGGCACTGTCTGTATGGCGGCAGCTGTTCTGTTGCCAGTGCACAGCGGCAATGCAGGTATTTGTTTCATTTACCGAGAATAGCATATTGCTTATTTGCAGAATTTCATTGCAATTTTGACCAAAAAAAAATGACAAACAGCAGGTATCGTTTTCAGGCTGTATAACCTGTCATATAGATATGGCATTCTTCAATCTTAGTCAGATAAATAGCAGTTTGCTCTGAGATTAGTTACATTTGTTATATATTTTTAAATCACTTTTTACTCCGTGAAGGAGGTCAGGACCTCCGGACGGAGTGTTGTAATCGGCTGATTTTTCATGTTCGCAGTCAAAACACTGGGTTCTCTTTGTGTAATCGGCACGCAATTTTATACGCCGTCTGCGGGCATGCCCGTGTTGATGCACGAATGTGTATTTTTGCCGTTGCTGCTTTCGCGGTCAATGTAATATCGCAGACGCACCCCTACAATTACGAGGCGAATTGGAATGGTCCAGAAAAACGCGTTGTTTGGAATAGCAGTGGGGTTCAAAAAAGTTCATGCAGATACGGGGTGGTTTTTATAAGTGGTTCCAGATGTTTTTGCCCATGGTTAAGAGATGCCAAGTTTTTTGGAAGATGTTCGCAGCCAAAACGCATTCTTCCGTACGTCGCATTTCTGTGTAATTTCGCATGTGGTGTTGCATTATGTCCGGGATGATGCACGTCTTTTTATTTTTACCGTAGCTGTTTTGATATTGGAGTAAATGCTTATTTTCGAAACATCCCCATTTCTTTGAAATGGTTTCGTCCGTTTATGCAACTGTTACTGCGCTAATGACGACCAGTCGCGCTGTCCTGATACACCGCGAATGTGCGAGTGTTCCCTGTAGACAGTCCCGGGAGTCATTTTTTTGCACATTCCAGGAGCCAAACCAAAATACGTTCATGAACCGAGTCCAAAAAACCGAAACGTGAAAATCGGATGATCGGACCTGATGTACATTTCTCTTTCTATAGATTGTACACACAATACACACATCTTTAGATAATCTGGCCATGGACAGGTTAAAAAAAAGTAACCCTGAATCATACTAGATTAGCGTAAATGCATGTTAATGCGTTCAAAACAAGAAAAAAATTGTTTCCGGGTATTAATCTCTTGAATCACGGCGCTGAATATTGACGCAAAAATATTTCGGGCATCTCGCGCCCTTCCCGCGTCACGTGTAGGCATCTCGCATCTCTGATTGGTTGTTGCGTCTTAAGATGACTGAGCCGACGCGCGTTTAAACAATTTTTCTTTGTTCGATTTATCACACTTCACAGAGAATTGTCGCCAATGGCTACTTCTTTTTGTTGCAATATATAATACTTCACGGAGAATTGTCGCCTATGGCTTCTTGTTTTTCTTTTCCAGTTGTACGGTTGGCCGGGGCGGAAGTCGCTGCGAGTACCTTCTGTCGGGTAATTAGATCGCCATTTGCTGCTTGTCAGAAGAAAAGTCCCCATACCTATATCTGTAAATGCTTGTTGTACAATAACTATGTCTTCACATTGTAGATGTGTCTGTATAACTGAACGTTTGTGAATATCTGTCGATACATCTACAACTGCCTCAAGAAGCGAGAAGAAGTTAAACCTGTAAATGGTAGATCACATTAGTATGTGTATTTCAATTAAGTTATTGTTGTATTCTTTTCCCTATTCATGACCTGTACTTAGCTTTTAAAAGGATAAACGTACAATTAAGGTCTTTCATTCGTTAATTCATTTATTTAAAGCGACGACGGCAGGAATCGTGGTCGCCATCTTGGTCGTGGTGACGCCTCTCCTGCTGGTAGCGGCTTGTGTCTTACGGCGTAAAACGATTGAGGAAAAGGCCAAATTCTACAGGTACTGGACTTTGTTAAACATTTGATTGTAGGAAACGTATACAAACTTATAATATAAAACTAAATCCAACTTCAGAATACAGTAGTTCGTTTACACATCCAACCACGATAGTTACGTTTCCTATACACTCACTCACTCACTCACTCACTCACTCACTCACTCACTCACTCACTCACTCACTCACTCACTCACTCACTCACTCTGTCCTATAGCCACCGGCCGTTGGGGCAGTCCGGCTGACCGCAAAAAGTTTCCACCTCTAAATGACAACATGTCTAATACTGATTTCCAATTTCAACACTGGTTACCATGGTGACAGACGTCTGGTTCAGGTCATTGACTTTATTTCTTTGGGGAATTAAGGGAGAAGATGAGGAAGAGGAAAAAGAGCAAAAACAATATGTTTTTCTGCGAAGGTAAACATAATGAAGTTGAATCTCATCTAAATATTATTCACATTTCTAATACTGAAGGAAAACATTGTTTTTTGCTCAGTTTCTTCCTCTTCTTCTTCTTCTCCAAACAGTGACCTCTGACCTGACCAATGACCTGATTTGTTGACGGCTGTCACCATGGTGACTGGTGTTGGGTTACATAATGTTGCAATTTCATGGTCTGCTCTGCTCCTCTCGCCATACACTACTAGTACATGTATGTGTATGTGTATGTGTATGTGAATGTTTTTGAGTGAGAAATAACAGAGTAGACCATGTCCGAAGTTAAGCATTATGCATTTGCTTTGCAAATGTTACTTCTCTAGCTCTAATAGTGATTTCCATTTCCCCAGAGGAAACAAGACCCAGTCGCACATCTGGTGGAACGTGACGCGGCCCAAGTTCAAGGCGAGCTTTCCGAACGTGCCGACGCGCGGTGCAGGCTGGGTAACGCTGAGGCGGCGGCACGGGCACGGCACGTACGTGGAGGCGTTCCCGTATGTGGACCTGGACGTCAGGCGGTTCTTCCCGGGACGCAGGTACGTTACGGATTGGGCATGACATTTTTTTTATATTCCAACATGTAATCACCAGTCGTGGAGACGGCACACTCAAGTTTTATCAACTTATATTAATGCCGCCACCAACACAGGGGACAAATACATTACAGGACAATACTCATTTACACCTGAGCTGAGTGAGGAAAGTCGTGTAGGTAAAGTGCCTTTCCCAAGGACACAAGATCGGTGGCATGTCAGAATCATGTCAGGACTCGAACCCAGGATCTCTAGGTTCCGGGTCGCGCACTCTGCCGTTACGCCACACGACCCCACATATGGCACTTATTAGTGTATTTACAGATGCTAGTATGATTCTTTCAGCTATTTATGTTGCATTTTGTTTTTTTTCTAAGGCGTCCTTGGTATTTAGTTATACTAACTGAAGATTTATATTTAAAAACATATTATAGAAATTTTAATTAATCGC